CAGCAGGAAGACATAAGGACAGCGCGCTACGATCAACAGGCTCCTTGCAGGAATTCAAGGCTGGCTTAACACGCAAACGCGCAACTCACAGTAACCGAGGGGAAGAGGAAGCCGGCGTGATGTCTCCGTGGGTGTAGACAGAGCGCTGGACAAGCGTCCCCTGAGGAGGAAGTGTCCCGGCCCACCAGCAACAGAGGAAACGTCCTCAGCTCCACGAAGGAGACACGCACATCCCCGACACACAGCGCCACGCGCCGGACGCTCTGCGCATTGGTCCCCGCCGCTGGGCGTGGTCTCCCAAACGGGGGCGTCTGTGCCCCTGAATTCAACCAAGACCCGCAGCATTTTTACACGTGACTTAGCAGGACTTCCCGTGTGCCGATGCCACCGGGCTTTTCCTGGTGGGGACGAGCCAGAGTGAAAACACTCTCTCTGGGCCCGGGGCCGGCGTGTTTTCAAACAGTCAGGATGTATGGGGTCGGGGTGCACTCCGTTTAGAAAGCCAAGATCGATGTTTTCTGAAATAAAATGGGTTTGGCTGGACTGGAAAATGTCAGAATGCATGTATCCAGGGGAAGTATTGTTGGGTGGGACTTTTTTTTTTTTTTTCCTGAAGTGCATGGGATTTGCTTCTTCCTCAGTGGCCTAACTTTTTCTGAAGTGGTCCGTGGTTGCTGGGGAGGAGGAAAGAGTGGGCAGTGGGTGCTCCCTGCTGTGGCCCAGGCACTGCGTGTACATGGGTGTGTGTGTGTGTGTGAGTGTGAGCGTAGTCATGCACGATGACACATTTCTTCCCGTGCGATAAAAAAAAAACAAACCTGAGGTTCACTCTCCTTTTACTAGGGATGGGATACACAGCCAGCAAGTGTAAGCGTGGTTTTGGATTTCAGGGGGCTTTATAACATATTTAACAATCTTATGTTTATTCATGGGTCTTTTCTGAAAACTTTGCTTTTTTTAGTCTATTTTATTGACTGTGTTATTAGTTATCCCAACCTCCCCCCTTCGCCCCCCTCTGCCTAGTACTCCCCCCCTCCAGCAATTCCCTCCCCCCTTAGTTCATGTCCATGGGTCATGCATAGGAGTTCTTTGGCTTTGGAGACATATTTTAAAGGGAAATGATCTTCCCAATTCAACCATTCTATAGATAGGGCTTTAAAGGAACTAATCTTGACTTTGAAACCAAATTCTCTAAAGTCGTACCAAAATAAAATATTTTGGAACCATACATAGAAAGCATCTCCATGAATTCTAACAGCTGGGACAAGTGCATTAGGATACACAGTATAATTTATTTAAAAAAAAATTTTAAGTTTACCAGAGCCCTACTAACCATAGCTTAAAATCCAAAATATTTTGCAATGTTTTAAATTCCTCCAAAGAACACTTTTGTAATCCATAAATCTTCTAATCAATAAATCTTCATTAGCACTTGCTAATTTCACCGGTATAAGCCATGTCAGAAAACTCAAAAAAGAAGAATGAAATATCAACAAAAACTGTCATCACAATGTTAGACGGAGTTATACAGGATGAGCTACATTCTCTGAGTCCATTCGGCAATTAAGGGGTTTAAAAATGTGACGGCTGCATAAACAGGCAAAAACCACGCTCTCTGAGCGAGAGAGGCACGGGACGCGCAGGAGGCAGCAGCGTAGCCTCGAGGTCCCAGCGCGCCGGTGGAGCGGGCCGGCGGGCGGGCCAAACGCTGAGCCCCGCTGGGAAGGAAAAGAGAAACTGGTCCTTCCTCCCCTGGTCCGCGATGCGTGCTCCCCAGCACTGAGAAGTGACAGGACAGAGGGAGGGCTGTCCGCTGTCAGCACTGCCCAGCGCAGAAGGATACTGGCGTGCCCAGAGCTACGTCGCCCAGCTCCGGGGTCGGGGAGGGGAGTGGGGGCTCTCTCCGTCCGCAGGACGCGCGGCTCCCCAGGGAGCTGAGCCTGCGCGGCCCGGCCGGGCTCCGGGCGCCGCTGACCCAGAGCAAGCTGCGGAGCCCGGCAAACCTGCGGCTAAAGTCCAAGTCCAAGGCCAGCCTGGCGCAGCCCGGGGCGGGTGACCGAACCTCCCTGGGCCGCAGTTTCCCGGGTACCTAGGTCCGTGCCTGGCGCGTGGGACACAAGCGTAAAAAAGGGCCTTGGAAGGTGGCAAGGAGGGCAGGGCACGCGCCAGCGCGCGGCGTTGCGGGGCAGGCCGAACTCAGCACGCGGCGAGCACTGAACACCCGGCCGCGGGAGGCGGCAACCTGGAAAGTACCAGGGTCTCCAGGGTGGAAGGGTGCGTGCCGGCAAGGGACTGTGTTTAATCAAAGTGATCATGAACCATGGAGAGAAGCAAAACAGAACAACAATACGGTCTGGATACGACGGAACTTTGGTCAAGTGGGCCTAGTTCCTGAAGTTTGGGGGTGCACGTGGAGCAAATACAAAATAGGAAATGATGAGTATATTTTGTGACTTCCAGGGGTAGGCCAGGTGAGGGCAAGAAGTAGCGATAACTTCTGAACTTCTGAGAAGGGTGTGGCCAGGGGCCCTGCACCGCGGAAGCGGGGAGGTGGGGCAGCTGGGGGGACACGTGTGGCTCGCTCCCCAGGGCGCGAACTTCCTGGGGGACAGTGGCTCTGACGCAGTCAGGCCCGCTCTTCGCTCCCGTCAGGAAGCAGGTCGCCCCGGAGTGAAGGCACCAGCCCCGGGCAGGCCGCGCTCGCCCGCTCCGCAGGAAGCGGCCGGGCAGGGGTCCCCTCGGGCGGCGGCTGCGCGGGCCGGAGCCAGCAGAAACTCGTTCCAGGACGGGGGCCGCGGGGGCGGGGCGGGGTACGGCGCTGGCCCCCCCCCGGTGAGGTCAGGCCGGTCCGCGGCGAGAAAAGCAGGCAGTTCTCACACTTGCTAATGAGCCTGACGCTCGCGCAACAGAAACAGGAAGCGGGAGCTCTCCAAAGCGACCTGGAGGAAATCCACTCCCAGGGCGCTCCACGCGCAAAGCCCAAGTCGCCAGGTGGTCAAGGTCACTGCCAGAAGGTGACACCCCGCCGCCCCCGCACCACCCCCCTCCCCGGGGCCCGTCTGCACCCAGCCAAGCCGCGGCCCCCTTTCTCGGCCCTTCCCACAGTCAGGGCGGCGGCGGGCCGACCCCGGCGGTGGGAAAGGCTGACAGGCACCTCTCCGCGCCCCGGGCGGCGCGGAGGTCAGTGAAATCCCCGCCCGCCCCGCTTTAGTCATGAATTTCCACTGGCTCCCTCCTCCGGCTGCAGCTGCGGGCGCGCGCGGCGGCCTCGGCCTCTCGGCCGGCTCCCGCCTCCGGGCTGAGCGAGAAGGTCACCGAGGCCGGACCTTTCCGGCGCAGGGGGGGGGGGGGGTGGGGGGGGTGGCGGGGCGGGGGCCTGAGCGCAGCGGGCGGAGGCCCGGGGCGCCAGGAGGCCTTTGTGCCCACGGCTTCTCCCCCCCTCCTCTACCCAGGCACCTCAGTTCGTAGGAAATAAAATTAAAAAACAAAACCACAAAACCGCAAAAAAAAAAAGCCTTGTTTTTTTTTTTTCCTCTTCCAGCCAGTGGCCCTGATATAATTTTCCCAGGCTGCCTTCCCCTGATTTCCCAATCTGTCCGACTCCCCGAGGTTCCCCTAAATTCGTGGCAGAATCCGTGTGGCCTGTCCCCGGTGTCCCTCCCCCCGGCACGGCGCCGGGCACAGAGTGGGGGGCCCAGCGAGGCGTGTAGACCGAGTGAACGCGACGATTCACGGTGGCGGACACAGCCTCCTCTCGTCCCTCTCGCCACCCCCTCAACCCCCCGCACTGCGCGCGGACCGCACACAGCGCCGCCAAGTTCCTGGCAGGCGCGGAGGTGGCCGACCCGGCGGGCACACGGCGTCCCAGGGCTCTGTCCCCGGGCCGCGCACAGCGCCGGCGGCGCTGCGGCCGGAGCCTCGGCCACGTGAAGCGTCCCGCCCCGGCCGCTGCAGGGCAGGCGCCGCCGCCGCCGCGGTTGTGTAACGCTGCAGCCGGAGGGGAGGCGACCCGGGCGCCCTCCTCCGGAGGGGGCCGAGGAGGGAGGGGACGCCAGGCGCTGCGCCCGGGAGCTCTTCGTGTCTGACTAGAGAAGTGGGGGCGGGGGGGTCACCGGGGCATCCGGGGCGCGCGCCCGGCCCGTAGGATGTTCCCGCCGGCGGAGCTCCGGGGAGCGGGGGCCGCCGCCGCGCACTCCCTCCGCGGTCAGGTGCGCGCAGCGTGCTCGCCGGCGGCCTCGGCTGCCCCGGCGCTTGGCCGCCAGCCCGCTTCCCATGGGGTGACATCCGCCCCGCCCCTCGGCCCCTCCCACGGCGGGCAATTCCTGGACGCCCGGCAGCAGAGTGGGGGCAGGGAAGCCGGGACGGGAAGAAACCCCAGCCTCTGGGGAAGGCAGGGGGCCCGGCGACTCCCTCCGCGGCGCGCCGGTTCCTGCGAGCGGCCGAGCGGGGGAGGAGGAAGAGGGCTGGGCCGCAGCGAGCGAGGGGATATTCCTCTCCCGGCTTGAGTCAGACGCTGGCGGATCCGTCCTCCTCCGTCCCCTCCCAGGAGACGGGAACTTACTTCATTTCCCTGGGGCAGGTTCGCCCACGTTACCACCCGCCCCCGGGCTCCCCTTCCAGCCTCCGCGCCCCCCACCCGGCTGCGCTGGACCCCGGCCGCGCTGCCACCCCCTCTTCGGGGAAAGGCAGCCGCACCGCAAACACCTGGGGGCCGGGGTGGGGGTGGGGGCCCCTCGCAGCCGCGAGAGCGTTGTCCAACACGTGAGCCTCATGTGATGAAGCCGGGGAGGGCGGGCAGGTCGCTCCTTCCCTCCCCGGCGGCGGCCAGACGTGCCTGGAGTCACAGGGTGGAGCACGTAGCTCCAACCCACCCACTCGCTCCCATTTAACCCAGCCCGCAGCCTCTCCGTGACTCCGCGGCTAGCCACCCCCCCGGCCCCCGCCCGAACCGCCCCCCCGCGCTCCCGCCCGCCTCCCCGCCCGCCCCACTTCTCATTCACTTGGCTCGCACGGCGCAGAAGGCACTGGGAGCACACTCCGCCAGGCTGTGCGCAGAGCCGGAGCCAGAGGCCGCGGAGACACTATGCACGCCCCCAACTGAAGCAGCAGCACCTCGAAGCCGCAGCTCCCGGCAGCGCAGCGGGTTTCAGGGCGCTCAGACCCAGAGGAAGCCGTGCCGGGGAGAGATCCGAGGGCCCCTCCAGGACAGTCCTCACCCGACGCCCTTCTGCAGACAGGAGCGCACAGTGGCCCCGGCTCGCCGTGCCATGGAGCGGATCCCCAGCGCGCAGCCGCCCCCCGCCTGCCTGCCCAAGGCGCCAGGACGGGAACCCGGAGACCTACCAGGGTAAGTGGGCACCCCTGGCGCCTCAAGCCTCAACTCCAGCCCTGCGATCCGCACCGACCTCGCTTGGAGCAGCTCCGGCTGCCTCTGGGGGTTCTTGCCCGCCGGGCTCTGCAGCCGGGGCGCACGCAAACTCACGACCCTTCCTGGCCCCTCTCCCTGCAGGATGGATTTTGCCCACATGTACCAAGTGTACAAGTCGAGGCGAGGAATCAAGCGGAGCGAAGACAGCAAGGTAAGAGCGCCGCGCGCCCCCGGAGACCCCAGCCCCTAGCACGCGCTGAGTTTCCAAGAAAAGTTTTCTCACTCTGAGGCTGGAGGGGTTATGCAAGATGCGGGCTCGGCGCCTCTACCGAGTGGCTCGGAGGGGCAGGGGCAGGAGGTGGTGGTTCTGGGTGTGACTCTGCCGCGCGCCGCGCGGAGGGAAGGAAGGGGCTTCTCACCCCCTGGCTCCCGTGCCCACCGCCTCCGCGTGCGCCTTGCAGGAGACCTACAAACTGCCGCACCGGCTCATCGAGAAAAAGAGACGTGACCGGATTAACGAGTGCATCGCCCAGCTGAAGGATCTCCTGCCCGAACATCTCAAACTTACAGTAAGTGAGAAGCTGGCGGCGCTCCAAGCCGGCTCCCCGGCCCAGAGGGCGGGCGGGGGTCACTCGCCGCCTGCAGGCCCCGCGGGGAACTGCAGGGCAGAGGGCTGGGTCCCAGCCCGCAGCCCGGGTGGCTCTTGCGTGGGGGTACCCTTCCCCAGCGCCGGTATTTTCTGGCACCCTCATGCAAATGAGGCGAGAACCGCTTGGGCTTCTCCAAGTTGGCTCCAACGCCAGCGGGCCTTCCCTTGCGGGAGTTTTCGACTTTCCCTTTGGGTACTCCTCAGGGATCTCCGGGTTTCTTGACTTCAGTCAACCAGCACTCGGATGTTATTCAACCCCTTTTCTCTCTCTCTCTCTCTCTCTCTCTCTCTTTTTTTTTTTAAATAAGAGGATTTGTTTTGGTATGTGATTTTCACGCCTGCCCTTCCTTAGCAGAAGCCAACAGCTTACGAGCTTGGCTGCCTTTGGGGTGGGGAGAGGGAAAGAAAAGAGTATTGGAGGAGGGAGCCAAGAGCCCGGATGAGCCTGCAGGGTACGAAAGGGTGTCAGGGAGAGCCTCTTGGCTGCCGGACGCAGCCCAGGTCCCTCCTCCGGCTGACACCGGGCAGGGAAGTGTTCGCTCGCTGGGTCGGATTCCCCTGAGGGCAGTCCGCCGGCGGCTGCTGGAGCGGTGGCCTGCCAAAGCCTTCTCCTGCAGCGGCTGCCGCTTCCAGGTGGCCTCCCCGCGTAGGTGGCCCTCCTGGTGTGTGCGCTCCGATGAGGACTAGGTCGTTTTTCAAAATCAAGTGTGGCCAGCCAGGATAGGCTCGCTGAGTATTTCCCCCCACCCCCCTTTGGAGACGTTTCTCAGTGCTGCTAATCATCAGTGTGTCCCGGGCATGGGACCTGTCCGAGCTTGCTGCTGACGGAGGTTTCTTTTGGTTCCAGACTTTGGGTCACTTGGAGAAAGCCGTGGTCCTTGAGCTCACCTTGAAGCACGTGAAAGCCCTAACGAACCTCATCGACCAGCAGCAGCAGAAAATCCTGGCCCTGCAGAGCGGTTTGCAAGCCGGTGAGTGCCTGTGTCTGGCTGGCGTCTCCGGAGCGTTCTAGCACAAACAGAGCCTGTGGGCCCGACAGCTGCTCTGAGAAACTCTCCTGCCGGGAGAGCCTCGTGCCTGTTCACGGCTTGGGGCGGGGGGGGGCGGGGGGGGGGACGCCGTTCTATCCTCCCTAAAATGTCAGGCCTTTTCATTTGGAATGCTGCTGTGTGCCACCTGGCAGGAACACCCATTCGTCAGATGATCAAACATTGCTGTGGCCTCCTGGCTTCAGAGTTTCTGGGTTCCGGGCGTTTGGCCCCCCTCCCTTTCACAATGGCAAGGCACCTACCGTTTGCCCCGTGGGCGTTTCACAGTTGGTTCTCAGCCCTCTTCCCCTGGGAAGGAAGCGCGGGCATGCCCCCGTGTTTTCCTGCCTCTCCGCCCCCGCCCGGCTCGGTGTGTGGCAGGATCCTGGCCCAGTGACAGGGGAGTTTTTCCCGCATTTCATGTGGTTCCCTGAATAGCCACTGGGTATCTCAGCGGATTGCGCAACCCAGCGAAACCACTGGAGTTTCGTCACTGGCTTCTGCTCCCTTCCAGAGAATCGCCCTCACCTTCACGCCCTCCCCGCTCGCTGCTTCCAGATGATACTGTACAGGCTGGGGAGCGGCTCTCCTGCCCACCCCTCACCCCCATTCCCTCCTGCTCTGCCCTTCCCACCACGTCTGGAGGGCTGAGGCTCCCCGAACCCCCCGGCCCGTGCTTCCGCCGGGTCCTCGCTGAACCCGGAAAGCTGATCTCTTCTGCCTAACCTCCCGGGGGGGGCCGTGGGGCAGATACAGGCACAAGGCTTTGAAATAGCCTCTCTGTGTGCAGACGACAGCACGTCTGTCCCGGGGATAAGTCACTGGAAGTAAGATTGCCCTAGGGGACGTTGTCCCTTGGTTCTTTCCCCCGTTTTGCGGCCAGGTGGCCGCCGCCCGTCTCGCTGCAGTGAGACCGAGGTCCTGTGAGTCAGCTCTCTGGCACAGAGACATTCGAGGGCGCTGTGTCGCCTCCAGTGAAAACTTGGGGGACAACCCGCACACTCAGCGGGGGGGGGGCAGGGGGACACAGTGTGTCTCTCCCTCCTCGTCGTGGTCTGCCTCCACGCTGGGGTCTTCTGCAGCCGTGGCACTCACTGTGTCTCTGGGTGGCAGGATGGTGGGAGATTTTTACTCGATTGTTTCTTCTGCATGCTATTCGCGTTTCCTCTGCTCGCGTTACTCTCGGAGTTGGGGGCTCAGAGGAGCAAGCGACCTAAGAAGGGGTGCAGCTGGGGGCCTTGGGTGGCTCGGGCCTCACCTGACACGCCCCCCCCCCCTTGCCTCTGTGTCGATCCAGGAGAGCTGTCGGGGAGAAGCGTCGAGGCAGGCCAGGAGATGTTCTGCTCGGGCTTCCAGACGTGCGCCCGGGAGGTGCTGCAGTACCTGGCCAAGCACGAGAACGCTCGGGACCTGAAGTCCTCGCAGCTGGTCGCCCACCTGCACCGGGTGGTCTCGGAGCTGCTGCAGGGGGCGCCCCCCAGGAAGGCGCCGGAGCCCGCTCCCAAGGCCGCGGACTTCAAGGAGAAGCCCGGCGCCCTGGCCAGAGGCTCCGAGGGCCCCGGGAAGAACTGCGTGCCCGTCATCCAGCGGACTTTCGCGCACTCCGGCGGGGAGCAGAGCGGCAGCGACACGGACACCGACAGCGGCTACGGGGGCGAGTCGGAGAAGGGCGACCCGCGCGGCGAGCGGCCCTACCTCAACAGTGACCACGGGCACAGGTTCGCCGCGGGAGAGCGGGTCGGGGCCATCAAGCAGGAGTCGGAAGAGCCCCCCACCAAAAAGAGCAGGATGCAGCTCTCTGATGAGGAGGGCCGCTTTGCTGGCGGGGACCCCGTGGGCTCCCCGTTCCTGGGCCCGCACCCCCACCAGCCCCCCTTCTGCCTGCCCTTCTACCTGATCCCGCCCACGGCCACGGCCTACCTGCCCATGCTGGAGAAGTGCTGGTACCCCACCTCCGTGCCGCTGCTGTACCAGGGCCTCAACGCCTCCGCCGCGGCCCTCTCCGGCTTCATGAACCCCGACAAGATCTCGGCGGGGCCCCTGCTGCTGCCGCAGAGACTCCCCTCCCCCTCGCCGCCCCACCCGGCCGTGGACTCCTCCGCCCTGCTCCACGCCCTGAAGCAGGTCCCCCCTTTACACTTAGAAACCAAAGACTAAACTCTTCAGGGGGTCCCACTGCTTCGCTTGCCACCCTCTTTCCACCCCCCTGCCCCCCAAAAAGTGTGTGTGTGAGCACGGCGAGATGGTTCCGGCGTGTGCAAGGCTGGCCGAGGCCGGAGACAATGGGGGGGTGGGGGCGTGTGCGCCGTGTGTTGGCTGCAGCCCAGGGGACACGCGAAGGGGCGCCCGCCGGCAGGAGTGTTGGGGGTGGAAGCGCACCTCTGGGCCTTTCCCCACCCGGAGAAGGACCCCCCCCACCCCCTGATAGGAATCAGCTGGATTTCCAAAAGCTTCAAAGCCTCGGGCTGTGAGTCAGCCTCCACGTCAGGAGCCAGGTCGGTGGCTTTGAGAAAAAGGTACTTTCAGAAAAGGGCTTTCCAGGGTGCAGCGCCCAGTCTGCGCTCCCGACCCCGCCCCGCTCCCTCCTGCTGCCACCCGTGACTCACCGGCCTGCCCCACCCCGGGAGAGGGCCGCCAGATGGAGCTTTCCGAGGGGGTCAGCGCTGGCCTAGCTGGCAGCGGTTTGGGGAGGCTCCCCCAGGTCTGTGCCCCACCCCTGCCCCAAGGAACAGAGAGGATGCAGTTCCCTCCCCGGGTGTTTGGGCTTGGGCAGCAGTGAGCTCCCTGGGGAACTGAAAGGGGTCCCTGACCAGCCCAGCTGTCAGGGGAGGAGGAAGGAGGCCCCTGGGGCCTCGGGCACCTGTTTCAAGGTGTCGCCTCGGAGCAGTCTTGCCGTCCGTCCAGGGCAGCTCGCCAGGGTCTGAGAGGTGCGGCCCCGAAGGTCTGAGCCGTCTCAGAGTGCACCCAGTGGGGTAACAAACGGCTCCTTTCAATGAGCAAAGCTAGACCCTGTTTTCAGTTCTACCCCAGAGCTCCTCGCCAGGCTTAGCTTCTCAAGGGCCCCGCCAGCCCCTTAACCAGGTCCTCTCTGCAGGCTGATGCCCCTCGCCTGGCGGCGTGGGGAGGGTCCCCCTCGCCGGGAGGGGTTCTGCCCCCTTCAGAGAAGTTCCATTTTTGGTCCAGAGCCTGTCCCTGTCCCTGACTCGTCCAGCCAGCCCCGCACCAGCTTCTAGAATGCACTCTGCCTGCCTGACCGCCGGCCGCGTGTTCCCTCTCGCTTCTCTCCTCTTTTTATTTTGGTATAAAGTCGTTGCCTTTATTTGTAAAACGGTTATAACTATATATTATATAAATATATTCAAAAGGAAGCTGTTTTAGATGTCTATTTGTACAAAGCGAGAAAAATGAATGTATTCCTGGTTTTGCAGAGAAGAAGGAATTTTTTTTTTCTCTAGGGAGAGGTACCGTGTTTATATTTTGGAGCTTTCCTGAAGGTGTGAAATTGTAAATATTTTTATCTATGACTCAATGTCAAGTAGCTGTTTAAAGTACTTAATAAAATAATCCTTTTCCTGTGGAAGAGAAAGAGGGTCCCTTGCGTGTTGTCCAGGAGCTCGGTGGTGAGAGGTGGCCAGGTGCTCCCCTCCCCTCCCCTCCCGTCTGGTCCCCTGGCCTCTCTCCCCCTCCCCGGCCTCGCCTTCCATCCGACAGGAAAGGCTAAGTCAGTTTAGCAGGTAAATATTTGTGTACGTTTTTGTTTTCTCAGCTCAACCCCTTGCTAGAGGTTTGCCATCACCCCGACCCCTCCTTCCACAGTTAACCAGAAAGGACTTTCGGCCCCGGGTCTGCCTGGGCCCTGGTCCCTAGGACTCGGGCCCTAGGGGAAGCCAAGAGTGAAGGCGGGGGCCCGGGCGTCTCAGGAGCGCGGCGGCGGGTGGGCCCCGGGGAGCTGCGCAGCCGTGACCCCCGCGGGCCCTGCCCCAGCGGCCCAGGTTTTCCGAGCCCAGCGAGGTCTCCTGGATTCGCCATATCCTGTCTCGTAGCTGCCGAAGGCAACATCCCATAATTATTTTCTACATCCTTCCTGGACTTCCTCCCCATGGGCGTTTTCTGCGTGAGTGAAGGCTGCCTTTCCTCCGTCAAGGGCTCTTCTGAGAAGGAAAAAATTCCGTGGGAACAGGAGTGGGAGCCGGCAGGTAGCCCGTGGGGGCCCCGCCCGCCTGCCTCCTCCAGGCGTCCTGTTGTTCCCGGGTGGCCGGTACCTGGCTCCAGGCCGCACAGTGCCCCAGTCTTCCAGAACCCTCCGTTGTCTGGACCCAGGAGGGGCAGGGGACCCGCCCCGGGCAGTCACCAGCCAGGCAAAGATGCCACCTGCCTGTCCTGACTGTTGGCTTCAGATGTCTCCTTCCCTGTCTCCTAGGAGCCAGCAGGCAACAGTGGATCATTGCCTGGCTTGTGGGCAGACAGCAAGGTCTAGAAGGTACGGCTGTCCCCAGGCAGCCTGGTATCCTGGAAGGAGCCCGGGGCCCAGAGGCAGGGGGTGCTCGGGTGGGCTCATCGGCCAACAGGGGGTCTGTCACCTCCCTAGCGACACGCCTGCTTTTCACTAGGAAAGGGGGGACTCTGAGCCCCCTCCGGGGTCCGGTAGCAGGCACAGGCCAGTCTGTAAGTTCCTCCTTCTCCCGGGACCTCCTGCCCGACAAGCCCCCGAACTCCTGCGTGAATCGCTGGACCGTTTTTCTAGGTAAAACCCAAACGAGTCAGGTTTGTGCTGGGGCTGGAGCTCAGGGTGGAAAGCGAGAGCACGCCCGCTTTGCACGCCCCTGTCCCCCCGGGGCCCCGGCGCAGGGGACGGACGGCTGCAGGGACAGAAGGAAGTGGTTGGAGCGACCTGCACTAAAAACAGTCTTGAGGGTTCGACACATCGTCAGTGGAGAATCCCCCTGCCGCCGTCTGCCCCGTCCAAGGCCTCTCACGTGGCAGCTGTCCCTCTGCCTCCTCGCTGCTTCTGGCTTGCCCTTGACCTTCCTCTCGCCGAGTGGCAGCGGGTTCCAAGTGGCTCCGAGGGAGCTGGGGACAAAGAGGACCTCTGTTTCACGGGGGAGGGGTGTGAGTGCGAGGGGGCGAAGCGCTGGGCTGGGGCCCCGGGCCCGGTGGCAGCAGGCAGGCAGGCAGGCAGAGGAGGCAGGGGAGCGGAGGCCCGGGATCTGGCGGGGCTCAGACAGGGCGTGAACCTCCCGGCCCGGCCCGCCGGGATGGTCTCACCCCGCGCTGACCCGCCTCGCCTGTTGACACAACGTCACGTTTCCGACTGCAGCCTTTCATGTGCGGCCCGAGGCTAAAAGCGGCTGCCGGTTCCTGGAAGCAGACGTGCCTGGCATCGCGTCAGCAGAAACCTGATCCCCGGGGAAGCTGGGCACGGCAAGCCCGCGGGATCGCTCGGCCCCCAGAATAGGGCCTGGTGGCCCCCGCTCACGCCCAGCAGGAGGGAATCCGAGGGAGGGAGGGAGGGAGCGCTGGCCCGCAGGGGTGGGGCGGGGTGGGGTGGGGTGGGGAGCTGGATTTAGGCAGGGCGAGGGACTGGGGCCTGATTAACCAGAAGCTTCCCACGGGCCATCGCTCCTTACCGAAGCCTAACAGCCTGGAAGTACTGTGGGAGAACTACTGTAATTCACAGTTGGTGGTAGATAAACAAAACCAGGCTCAGAGAGGGGCGGTAGTGCGCCCAAGGTCACACAGCCTGTGCGTCACTGAGCCACTAGTGGGATGGTGGGTGTGTTGGATTGTTGCTCTCTTTAACAGGGTCCAAGGTGAAGGCTTCCGCAGAGCCTGGTTAATAATAATAATAATAATAATAATACTGATACTCTCACTTAACAGCCAACACCACAGTATCACTCACCATTTCCTTGCCTGGCACTCTTCAAAGCACCCCACGTACAGTAAGTTTTCACAGCAGCCGCATGAGGTGGATGGAATCAATTCCCCCCCCCCATACGGTTAACAAAATGTAGGCACAGAGAGGTTAAGTGACTTGCGTAAGGTCACACAGCTCCAGCAATGGACTGGACCTTACACCTAGGCGGTTTGGCTCTATGCTTCACTTCAAAGCCACACTGCGCTTCTCGTTGAGTAAGCCATGGTAATAATAACAGGAGTACAAGTAGTAATAATTGCAACTGTGCTACCATATTTTGAGTGCCTTTCCTATGCCAGGCACGGCTGAGCGCCTTATGGGAACCACCTCTGCCCCCTGCGGTGCCGCGCCCGCCGTGCGGGTGAGAGAGCCCTCGCTTCCGGGCTGAGTGGTGGGGGGCACTAGCGCAGTTACCCCTCGAAGCAGCCCGCAGGGCGCACAGAGGTGACTGAAGGTCAGAGTAAGATTCGCTGCCCGACTCTTCCTTTATTTGCTTCCTTCCCCCGGGCCCCACAGACCAGGCCCTGTCAGTGACGGGCCCTTCCTCTAGCGGAAGAGCCAGCCCCGCAGGCCTCTCCTGGGCAGAGGGAGGGCCCCGCGGGGTTCCAGTGCTGCGAACCGCAATCTGGGTTTGAGGAAATTCCACACCATAGTGTCTGGGGCGGCGGGGAGAGTGGGGGCTGCTTCTCCTCCCACAGCTCTCTTGGAAGAGGGGGCAGGGAGCGGGGCCTGGGGCAGGGCCTGGGCAGCAGCCACGGCCAGCAGGGCCCAGTGTGGCCAGGCAGCTCTGATGGGGGTGTGGGTGCGGGTGGAGGAAGACAGATAGGGGGGAAGGAGGGAGGAGGGGGGGTAAGATTGAGTTTCGGGCTGCCCAACTGGAAGGGGCCCGGGGCTCGCTGGGAGACCAGCCTTTGCAGCACCTGTCCCCCCCAGGCCCCCCGGCCACCCCGCCCTGGCCCGGCTCCCCAGCTCCGGCCGCGTCCCCAGCACTGGCCGGTGAGGGGTAAGCCAGAGGCGGCCCGGCTCCGTGGAGTGGGGCCAGTGTCTCAGGTTGGAGCCTGACTCGCGGCCAGGTCTCCCTGGGGCCTCTGGATCCCACCTCAAGGCTCGCGGAGACAGAGGGTGTTGCGCTCCCAAGTGGTTTCATATAAATACCACGTGTCCACCGGATCGGCGTGTTCTCCCGGGACCCAGAGGTCCCCAAGGGGCCACGTGGGGCGGGGTGGGGTGGGGTGGCTCTGGGAGTCTCAGCCCCTCCGGCTGGAGCGGCTCCCCCTCCCTCTGACTTAGGTGTCGCACGGGTTGGTGTGGACCCGAGTTCCACTGCTGAAACACGGCACGACCGTGTGCGGCACCGCATGGCGGCCCCTTCCTCAGGCGCGGCCGTCGCCGCGCCCGCCACCGTCTCCAAGACCCAGAGGGAGGCCGAGGCCACGAGAAGCCACCCCCCCCACACACCCTGTTTATCCCAGGCCATCTGTTTGGCCCGGCTACCGCAGCAGAACACGAGCCCAGCGCAGCCTCTCCCATTGGCTGGGGAAGCCAGCGACACGCTGGTCCCGCCGGCCATCCAGTCTTGTGATGTGGCTGGACGTGGGCCCAGGGGTTCCTTCCGCTGCAGACGGGCCCCTCCCTTCCTGGAGGAATCTTAGCAAAGGCGTCGAGGTGGGGACCTCGGGGATGAATCCCCAGGCCGCTAGGTAGGGGTGGCAGCCTCAGGCTGCAGCCACAAAGCTGGGGACAGCCAGCCTCGGCTACACCTAAGGCCCAGGCCTCTCCCCCACCCTCCACCCGTCCCCCTCCCCCCTCCTGTGCGGGGGGAGGGAAGACACTGGTGCTCGCTTGTTTGCTGGGAGAACGAACGTGGTCTGGGAAGCCGCGTGACGGGTCGTCTGTGGCGGTTGGAGTTTTGCAAGGGTCTCTGGGGCACTCAAGCGGGAAAAGGAGAGGAAATGACTCTCTCCCCGCCCCAGAAAAAACAGTATGGTTTGTAAAGTTTTCATGAAAATGCCGAATATTTCTGTACCTATGTTCACTATGGAGAGTTTGAAACTACGACGTAGACGGAAACAACCCAGAGACTCGACCGCGGTCTAGAAGCGGGCAGAGGGCCCGAAGAGGCACTTCTCTGAAGAAGACACGCCAACAGCCCCTGAAAAGATGCTCAGCCTCCTGAGTCACCAGGGAAATGCAAATCAAAACCACAGCAAGGTACCACTGCACACCCGCCGGGACGGGCTGCAGCAGAGGCCAAGACGCGGGACGGAACATGCGTGTCGGGGGCTCCGGAGGACGGGGCCCTTCAGGTTTTGCTGGAGGGGACGGGCAGGGGCCCGGTTGCCCCGGAAAACGGTTTGGGGGTGCCTCTAAAGATGAAACAGCCCCACCACACAGCCCTGCCACCCCACTCCCAGGCGCACACCCTCACAAGAACTGAGGACCGGGACCCCCGTGCGCCACGGCACTGTGACCATGGATGGAAACAGCTGGCATGTTCCCCCACCGACGCATGGAAGAGCCAAGCATGCCCTGGGATGCACTGGGCTGCGGAGCAACAAAGCACCCATCTGGGCGTCAGCAAGGTCGAACCCCAAACGCTCGCCGCTCGGGAGAAGCAGCCAGGCCCAGAGAGTCTCACTCCCCGCCGTGGGACCTCGGCGTCCGCAGGT